GAGTTGTGGACCAAGTCCGTGAGTACAGGAATCCCCTTGGTTTTGTAGACTTGGACGCGGTTGCTGCTGGTGACGCACATGCTCATGAGATGCAGCAGAGCTCGTTCCTTTTGCTGCTCTGTTGTATGATCCGATCCAAGTAACTGAATTAGTCGTGGAACTGAAGACTCATCAAGAGGAGTAGACAAAGACAGTGGAGACTGCGGAGGTGCCTCCTTCTCATCGTCCACTTGATCGACAACGTTTTCCATCAACGCTGGCTCCTCACCGGTTGGTGTCTTGTCCTCTGCGTCATCGCCCGCACTTGTTTGCTTCAATCCGGCCAATTCAATCTTTTGGACGGGCACCACCGTCGCACCAACCACAACGTTGGCGGTACTCTGGTCCAATTCATACTTCGTGATGACAGGTGCCTTCTCCTCAGCATCGACATCATCACCACTTTCGTCCAATGCACTGCTTCTGACTGTATCCTCCGTCGTGTCCTGCATCAACAAAGACTCGTTGGGAAGCGCCTTCTCTTCCAGCTCATTGTCAAGCTTCATTTCAGCTGTCGGATACTCCTCGACGTTCTTCACCACGGCACTCTCGACGATCACAGCAGGGGGTTTCTTGTCGATTGACTTTGACTGCGCAAGATATCTTTCTTCTCGCACCCTAGTGGCCGCTCGTTTCTCGACTGCAGGTCCCCGTTCATCCAACACCTTCTCCTCCTTGACTAGTTCAAGTTGTTGCCTGTCTGCGAGGAGTGCAGCGTGGATTTGGTCGTGACTGAGTCGGATATCGCCGTGCATGTCTTCAAGCTTAGCGAAGAGTTTCGCCGCGTTACTGGAAGCCGTAGCTTGTTCGTTCATCATCGTCACAGTCGCAGCGAGGTTCAGCATTCGGAAGAGTTGGTCGATTTCGGAGGCGATTTTCTGTCGTTTCTCCTCCATTTTGGCATGTTTAAACATCCGAACAACTCGATGCATGTCATGGTACTTTCGCAGATACTTCGAGAACGAGTCCACAGCAGACGCGAATTTCTCGATAGCATTGGTGCGTTGTATGGTGGGGTTCTCTTGAAGAGGTGCCGACAGTTGAAGTTCGACGTAGATCTCCATCATCCGCAGATAAGTCTTCCGGTTCTCGGGGCGTTGGCGACGAATAGCATCGCGCAACTCATAGATCAGGCGAAGACCATCGAGGATTGTGAGCGCGAGGTCCATCAAGAAAAGTCTTGGAGGTTGTGGCTCACTTGAGTGCTTGGTCGTGGATTGCAGAATGAACCGAACAAGGGCAAGGAAAAATGGTGTTGGTCAGCTTGCCAAGGTATCCTTGTCGGGTGGTCCATGGATCGCGGAGAGGCTCAACTGCCTTCCGTCCCATCCGCGGAACAGAGTGAATTTTGACGGGCTCCAATCGTCACATGGCCGCCGTTGTACTACTTCTATATTTGATAGAGTAAACAAGGGAGAAAGCGCATGCTGCCTGTAGACACCTTGTTGGCACCAAGGCCGGTCATCACGCTAGAATTTGCAACGTGGCGAGGCACGCCTCGTGCGAAGTGTTTTCGTTTCTATGCCTTAGAGATATGGCCGGTTATCGCTGGAACGACGTAACTTGCAGCACTCGCTTGGGTTCCTTCATCGCTCTGGAACGATCCAAGACCTTTGATCCAAAAGTTTGAAAGGGCTGGACCGAAAAAATGCAAGCGGGTTCATGTGGACCAATCGATCAAAACATCGTGCAAACAATTTTGTATAGCTTGCTCCCTTGACAAACAAATCGAACGCCGTTGGATTTTGTGGCGTGTCTTAGTTGAGAGAGAGAGAGAGCCTGGCAGCCAAATCGTTAGAGCGACATGATGCATGAATTATAATGGAGACATGAGCCCTTGAATGCACTGCCGGTACTTGTTGCTTGGAAATTCTATTGGGAAAGAGCAGGCTTCGACCACCGAGGTTGATCGACAAGCTTTAGATACGGTAGTTGATCCGTGCCGAGGCTCATGCCATGCATTTCGTTCTTAGGTCTAAGATAATCTGGATGCTCGTAGTACAAGATAACAAAATAAAGTCGACTCCATCGCTCTCAACGATATTAAAAGGATTACTAGTAAACCGTTGGAACGAGCAACGAGGGCAAGCTTTTTCGATTCGCGTGAACCAATCGATCAATCCTCGATATCACATGCATCTATTTTAATGCAATTTTTCAAATGCAAGCGCAAAATAAGTTTAGTCATTCGCTGGTTACCAATCAAC